TATTAAAAATAGCATAGAATGGAGTGGAGAAACAATATTTGATCTTAAAAAGGTTAATAAAACTATTCAAATAGAAGTAGATAACTCAGAAAATACAGAATATTGTAAAAAAAACTGTTTGAGGTAATAACAGACAACATTTATAGAAGCAAATTAAGAATAGCAGAGGTGCATGGCAGGTGGTGAGAGATGTGGAGCTATGGTGTTACAGCATGCTTTAGTGAGACAATTGAGATTTATTTTCTTGGGGATAGACTGCAAGCAAGACAGAAAGATACCCATGAAAGTTGAGTCAATGACTTACACCTGAAACTTTCACACTGAATAACAGCAATATGATCAGTGCAAAGATTTCCTAAAGGCAAATGAACTTTTTCTCTCCTCTCTCCCCTTCCCCTAATAGGTAAAGAATAGGTAATATTACTGCCATTATGTCACGATCAAAATATTAACAACCAAATTTTAGAACTAATGATAGAAAAGTAAAAAATGTACAGAAAAATGAAACAATAAACATTTTGATTGTTTCAATGTTGGGTAATAGCGCATCTAAGTCAGCTAAAGTTTATTTTACTTCCAAACCATTGCATCAGGCAAAGCAAGACCAGTCTTGTAAAATTTATATCCACAGTAAATGTCCAGTTTGGCTTGCCCAATATTAACATGCATCATCTTCATTTCTACTGACAGGTTACATCAAAGCAATGACATATCTGTACTTTTACAAATGATTAAAATGTGACCTTGTTCAAAATGTAAAGCCAAATGCTTTTCTGGAGAACTTTGTTCCAATTTTGTAACAATTTTCATACCAGAGCAGCTATTCTTGCAGTCTGATTCCTTATCATGTTGAAGTGAATCACTCCATCCAGAGGCTGAAGTGAGAACTGATCAAGTTAGTTTGTTTCAATGGCATGCAAATAAAAGAGACAATTCAAGAAATCAAATCCCTTCACCATGTGCTCAGGAGGAAATAGTTTTATTTACTGCCTCAGAGAAATAAACAATAAAGAGTACAATAATCTAATACAGCAAAACAAAGGCAAAAAAGAAATCAATTGTCCCACATTCCTAAGCAAAATGTCAATGACCCAGATTCTGCAGAAATAATGAAAAAAGCTGGTAGTACTCTCAATTACTAAAAAAAAAATCATATTGAAAGCAACTTCTGCTAACCACAAGTGCAGCTAAATGTAAGAATCCAGAAGTTGCAGTTTCAGCTGCCTTTAAACTACATAAACTACATACCAGCATTTTACCCAGACACACTTTCTAAATGTTGTTCAATATGGAGGAATTTTGATTCATCAGCTGAGAGAGGACAATTTGTAGTGATCAGCAGATTTCCTTGGCCATGTTTAACTTAATACCATGACTACATGGGCTCTGGAGTCAATGATGAGGATTCCTAGGGCAATTCCCTCCCAACCAAATACCACTATACCGCCACCTTATTGAAACATAAGATTTTTAGGTATTTTACAGGGCAGTTCAGGAAAGGTTGTATTCCCTTGTCGGAGACTTTAGGTGTAGCGGGCATAATCTCAGAAAAAGGATCACTCACCTGAAACAGGGTGAGAGGAATTTCTTTCTCAGATGGTAGTGAATCTGTGGAACTCTACCACAGAGGATTGTAGAGACTGAGTGTTTAAATACATTCAATGCCGAGATCGATTCCCTTACTGATTAAAAATCTATGGTTAAGGAAAGTGGAGTTGAGCATTATCAGATTAGCTAGGATCTCATTGAATGGCAGAGCAGACTCGATGGGATAAATAGCATTCTTCTGCTCCTATGTCTTTTGTTGTTATAGACATCTTTGACTGTATCAGCTTTCTCAAAATAAGGAGTTTGGAGTTGAAAATATCTATAGTACTTTGCGGTTCTGACCCAATTATGCCTTCTCTGACATCATGAATGAAATGTGAATGCATTCTGGTTTCATTACAAAATGGTAAAATAGAATTAAATATATAAAAAAAGAGAGAAAACACACCGACTCTCATATTTATTCTCTTAGAACAGTAAAGATAACATGGGCCAAGGCTAATTTGGTTTCTTGAAGTTCAGGACAGGGCTTCCACATTTGATTTCTTGGCAATGAGAATTAATTTTAGGTGGTTGGAAGAAATAAACACCAATGGAAGAGCATTGTGATCTGGGTCTTGAACCTTTTCACAAGAGATAACAGATAGTGGTCAGTACGAATGTGGTCTCTTTGTACCCATTTAGGTAATACCTCACAAAGTATGAGAGCCACTAATAAACCACAGTGAACTGCCATTTTTTTGTTGGTTATGGAGTTATTTGGGAGAAGGACCCAACTGGTCTCTCTATTTTGGATTTGTCATAGGTGAAGGAAAATAGCCCATACTGCAATGTCACTCACATCAATAGTCACCTTGTGTGCTCTTTAAAATTTGGAGCTGTAAGCACAAGCTCACTTGTTAAAACTCCCTTCGGCTTTTCAAAATCAGAGTCATACAGCACTGAAACAGACCCTTTGGTCCAACCGGTCAATGCCAAACATAAAATCATAAACCACACTAGTTCCTATCGTAGCTAACGGTATAGCTGCTGTGCAGAAGTTTGGGACAAACGTTCAGTAGAACCTACATATTCCCAAGAACATCGTGATGTTCCTTTTTGTTGTATAATGGAGAGGTGTGCTTCTGCTTCCACCTATGCAGTTCCGGGCAATATTCAACCTTAATCCACTATGGGTCCCACGTATGTCCCTTGGGTGTTAGCAAATTTTCTTTGGTGACCATTATGTCCGCTGGCTATTTTCTGGAAGAGGACTATTAGCCTTTCCCAGGCTCTTTGTACATTAGAAGGTTGTCTAAGTATACTGCATAACTAGATAAGCTTGCCACTACGTGTTCAGTCTTTGAAATGCTTCAGCTCACCTTTCAGAGTCTGAACAGCAAGACTCCACACTGGTATAACCAATCAGGAGATATAAAGGCGCAGATTTCCTTCTTACTGGCAGTCAATGGAACCAGCCAGTACAACTGGAGTGTTTCGCCCTTAATACTGTAGGCTGCTTCACATGATCTAAGCAATCCCTCAGTTTCACTGCAGCTTTACTCGTTTAACCCAGAACAATATGGTACTCAAGGATTTATTTAAAACCATTTGCACTCTCATGCATACCTTTACAGGATTCACCGCTGAAGTCAGAGAAATAGCCTGGTCTGCTATGCTATCTGACTGACTCCTATTCTTGCACATGGTGTATGTGTCCTGATAAATTTGGCTGTTTTTCCCTGTAGCTTCCCATAGTTGGCCTCAACACGCTCTACCCACTGGCAGTTAAAACAGACAGGCTTCTTGGCCTCACCTTTTACCTTAGCTAAATCCTTTTTGTGTCCTGATGAGCCGCCTGTCATTTCCCTCTCTCTCATGGGTGCTTAATTTCCTGTCTCACACACCATCTTTTCTATTTGGTTGGGATGACTAGGGGAAGGTTTCTTCTGCATTAGAAGTTTGTGGAGTAACTCAATCATCAGCCAGTGTGGTGAATTGCCTTTACCCAGTCACATTCTATCTCCTTAGGTGCATTTTTATTGGAAAGGATATGGAGTTTTTAAACTCAAGGAGAATTAGGTCATAAAAATATTCTTAAGTGGCTTCTAACTTAAGAGTCCATGTCACTAGTTAAAAGCAAGCTGCTTAAGCCTTCAAATTCCAGGTACATCTAACCAGGCCATTTCCTGAGGGAATGGAATTTTTGATTTTATGCCTCCAACAGTAACCAGTGTGCACTTAAAATAGTCTTTTTTACTGCAACGTAAATCAGTAGCACTTTCCTCAGACAAGAGGGAGTAAAAATGCCCACAGTACTTCAGGATTCTGACCAACAGTCATAACAAATTTAAGAAGTGTTAAGTTGCCCACCGACAGGAAAAACTTTCATTTAAACAGTGACAGATTAGAAAATCTTGATGTGCAAAGAGAATTTGGTGTTCTTGTACACGAGTCATAGAAAGCAAGCACGCAGGTGCAGCAGGCAGTTAGGAAGACAAATGGTATGCTGTTCTTCATTGTAAAAGGATCTGAACATAGGAAAAAGGAAGTCTTACTACAGCTACAGAAGACCTTAGGGGAGACAGCTAGAATGCGGTGTCTTTGCTCTCCATCTCTAAGAAAAAACATAAAAGACATACTTTCCAAAGAGGATGTGCAACGAAGACTCACCAGACTTATTCCCAGGGTGGCAGATTTGTCATATGGAGAGAGATTAGGTTCACTAGCTTTGTATTCAGTAGAGTTTAGAAGAATGGAGGTAATCGTAACTAAGTTATAAAATTTTGACAGGACTAGGGGTTATGTGCTAGGATACTGGGCTTGCCATTTTGCACTAGGATGACGAGGAAGCTCTTCAGACAGCTGTGAACTTAGAAATCTCTACGACAGAAACCTGTGAAGGCCAATTGACTGACTATTTAATAGAGATTTTTAGATGCTAAAAGTGTTAAGAGGTACAAGAGAGAACAGGAGAATCGCATTGTGATAGAGGATCAACAACGATCATGTTGAATTGGCGAGTGGGTTGGATGGGCAAAATCCCTTATTCTTACACCTTTTTTCTACACCTTTTTTCTAGAAACTGCTTATAGAATTGCTTGCCTTGTTCACAAAAGCCCCAGCTCCCCACTGGAGCTAGTCGTGCTGTTTTGGATTTCGAAAGACAAAAATTTCATTTAAAAAGAATCTCATGGAAAGTTTGCGGGTACTGGTGATGATGACGTCTGAGCCAGTATCTTAAATGATTCTGTTTTTGGGATGTGTGGTGAAGGGATACAGTGAAGGGGAACTAAGAGTGTAAAAAAACCTTTTCATAAACCAACACTTATACATTCCAACCTTCTGATGTCTTCCAGCAGTTATGCAAATCAGTTTTTCTTTATACATTACAAAAAATGTACATGTACAATTTAAAATATACCAATAAATAGCTTGGTGACACTACACTTTAACGACTGGGAAATACTTACTCTCGAATAGCTATTTTGTCAGAATGTCTGGAAGATACAGAAGACATGCTCTGAGACATCTGAAAAATCAAAGAGTCAAATATTAGCCCAAGAAATGTTGTAATTATTATATAGCGATTTTGTTAAATAGACTTCAGATATTGCAGCCAAAACACAATAAAAGAGCTTGCTGTTTGGGCTGAATCTAATTATCTAACCCTGATATATCCCAATATCCTTTCACATTTCCTTCGTGTGTTTACCTACTTGTCTTAAACGTGCTCATAATTATGAGAAATTTGGACACAGGCAAAAACTGTTCCCATTGACGAAAGTAGTAGAGGTCACCATCTGGCAAAAATCAGATGTAAATGACTGGAAGCTCTCATTTATAGCACAGCGAGTGATTAGGAGAGAGGAGATGGAATCTACTGCTTGAGATATGATTGATGCTTATTTAGTCATTCTGATCCATCACGATACTGGTATGGTGAACTATTTTCAAAACATGTGAAATGGAGACGATATCTAGTTCGTGTAAATTTCCCATGTGCTTGCTTCCATCAACGGGCATTGTGGATTTGACAAGTGCTGTTGAGGAAGTCTTGGTGAGCAGCCGCAGTGTGTCTGTCTTGTAGACAATAAATAATGTTGCTACTGTGACAAATGTAATGATTAATGCATAGGTGGCTATGGTGTGGGTTGCTTTGTCCTGAGTGGTGGTCCAACTTGTGTTCTTGGAGCTGTACTTGTGCAGGCATGTGAAAAGCATTCCTTTGAACAACTGACATGTGCCTTATAAATGGTGGAAAAGTTTTCAAGTGGTGATTCAATCAATAGTGTATACCCAACATTGCATCTGCTTTTATAGCCATGGAATGTGATTGATTCAGGTAGACTAGAAACATATGTCAACTGGGGGGGTTAAGTGATGGTACTGTCAGTAAGTCTAAAGGGCTGGTAGATAGGCTCTCTTGAAGATGGTCATTGCCTGGCATATGGGTAACATCTGCTGGGGATAAAGCAGAACCACCGGAGAACAGCAGTTCCTAATCCACAACTACTACCAGCTAGAAGGTCAAATGCAGCACGCGGTGACACCACTGCCTCGAAGTTCCCTTCTAAACCACTCACCATCCTGACTTGGAAATAGAATTGCCATTCCTTCAGTGTTACTGGGTCTAAATCCTGGCACTCCTACTGTTAGTACCTATACCGAATGGAGTGCAGCAGTTCAAGGCAGCAGCTCACCACCACCTTTTCAAGGGCAACAAATGCTGGTCCAGGCAGCAACACCAACATTCCATGAATGAACTTTAAAAAATCAAATGCTGCTCATGAATACTGGTGTAGGGGGTGGCATATTGACATCAAAAGATGATTGGTAGGCCAACAGGAAGCAGAAAATATGCATAAATAGCTCTTTTTCAGATTAGCAAAATGTAATGGGTGGAATGCCACAGGGTTTGCTGCTGAAACTTCAATTGTGTACAATTTACTCAAATGCCCTGGATGAAGGGACAAAAAGTGTTGTTGGCAAATTTGCTGCTGAGAGAAATGTCAATAGGAAAGCAAGTTGTGAAGAGGACATTGAGGTTACAAAGAGATATAGATACGTTACGTGAGTGGGCAAAGATGTGGCAAATGGAGGAAAATGGGCAAAATGTGAAGTTCTCCATTTTGGTAGGAACAATAAAAAGGAAACAATGGCAAGAGATTCCTGAGCTCTGAGAAGTAGAAGGATCTGCGTTTTTATGCCCTAATCATAAAAAGGTTAGTATACAGATGCAGCAATTAAGAAAGCTAATAAGAGATAACAAGGTGTAGAGCTGGATGAACACAGCAGGCCAAGCAGCATCATAGGAGCAGGAAGGCTGACGTTTCGGGCCTGGACCCTTCATCTCCGATTCTCCAGCATCTGCAGTTCCTACTATCTCTGATACAAAGAAAGCTAATAACGTGTTTTCATTTATTGTGAGGGAAGTTGAATAAAACCGTGAAGGTTATGCTTTGATTATACAAGGCACTGCTGAGACTGCAGTTGGAATACTACATTAATACCTGGGATGGGGGCGGGGTGTTTAATATTATGATTAAAAGGCTGGAGCTGAAAAGTAAGAGGTGACTTCAATGAAGCAAGATCCTGAGAAGTCTTAACGTAGTGTATGTGGAGGGAACATTTCCTTTTATTAAAAAATCTGGAACTATTTAAAGGTCAGAAGTAACTTCTTTTCAGAGAGTTAGGTGTCTTTGGAACTCTTCCTTCCTGACAAGGTAGTGAAAGTGGACCCTTCAAATGTGTTTTTTTTTAAAAAAGACAGAGGTAGATCTTTTTTAAGGGGGTGTGAGGTTATCAGAGCTAAGATGAGAATGCAGATTTGAGGTTAAAATCTGATCAAATATGATCTTATTAAATATCAGAGCAGGCTCAAGTGGCTGAACAGCTCATGCCTGTTCCTGGTTCATATAGGTGACATTAATATTGCTTGCTACTTCTTCCCAACCTTAATGCAATTTTTCTTTAAAAAATATTTTATACTTCATCAAAATCAATTAATATATGAATTCTCCCAGAAGCTACTCAGGGACACTTCCTACTGGTCAGCTCAGCAACAAAACTGGCAGATTTCCTTGTGGGCCTCAGTTATAAAACTGTATGTAGCAGAAGGATATATAAAATTGAAGATACAGGGTGGGCATTACAGCAATGAAGCGAGGTTGGCTGAGGAGAATGCAGTGCCTTGAATCTTCATTTGGAATAACAGCTCCCCACTGCAGTTGTGGGGCAAGCAATTGGTGTTGCCAACTTGGAGACTGCAATGGTGACTGTGGAAGTTCTGGTGAAACAGTACTGGGAGGCAGTTCCGTGGCACTTTAATTATGCAATATCAAATCAGTGTGTGTCATAAGAGACTTTTCTCCAAGACCTCACCAGTGCCTCCAAAATGACTGCCTAGCTACCTCTTCATATTTTGGGTAGCAGCAATTTTCAAGAGTTAAAATGGAGCCAAAGTGGGGAAAAGGTTTCACAGCCTCAGCTTTAGAATCTGAATGTGAACAATTGTATATAGCAATCAATTCTGGATTATCTTCAATTCCAGATTTAATCATTTTCTGTACTCGTAAAGTCATAAAATCAGAGTCATGCAGCACGGAAACAGACCCTTTGGTCTAACAGTCCATGCTGAACATAATCACAAACTAAACTAGTCCCCCCGCCTGCTCCTGGCCCATACCCCTCCAAACCTTTTCTATTCATGTACTTATCTAAATGTCTTCTAAACATTGTAATTGTACCCACATCCACCACTTCCTCAGGATGTTCATTCCACACGCAAACACCTGGTATGTAAAAAAGTCTGCCCCATGTCTTTTTTTAAAATCTTTCTCCTCTCACCTTGAAAGTGTGCCCCTAGTCTTGAAATTCCCCATCCTGGGGAAAAGACAATCTACCGTTAACTCTATCTATACCCCTAATGATTTTATAAACTTCTATAAAAAGGTCAACTCTCAACCTCTTATGCTCTAGTGAAAAAAGTCCCAGCCTATCCAACCTTTCTTGATAACTCAAGCCATCCATACCTGACAACATCCCGGCAAATCTTTTCTGAACCTTTTGCAGTTTAATAATATCCTTCCTTTTGGACACAGTATTCCAGAAGAGGCCCCACCAATGTCCTGTACAACCTTAACAGGACTGCTCAACTCCTATACTCAAAAGGACTGAGCAATGAAGGCAAGCACGCCAAACGCCTTTTTAACCTCCTGTCAATATGTGACACAAACGTCAAAGAATTATGTACCTGCACCCCTAGGTCCATTTGCTCTACAACACTACCCAAGGCCCTACCATTAATTGTATAAGCCTTTCCCTTGTTTGTTATACCAAAGTGCAATACCTTGCATTTATCCAGATTGACCTCCATCTGCCATTTTTCAGCCCATTGACCCATTTTATCAAGATCGCTCTGTAACCTTAGAAAAAACTTTCTTCACTGTCTGTAATGCCACCAATTTTTGTGTCGTCTGCAAGCTTACTAACCATGCCTTCTATATTCTCATCCAAATTATTTATATAAATGACAAAAGAGGACCAATCCCTGTGGAACACTGCTGGTGACAGGCCTCCAGTCCAAAAAGCAACCCTCCACCACCACTAAATAAAAACAGAAAGACTGTAGATGTTCTAAATCAAGAACACAAACACAAGTTGCTGGAAAAGCTCACCAGGTCTGGCAGCATCTGTGAAGAAAAATCAGAGTTTACGTTTTGGGTCCGGTGACCCTTCCTGAGGAGCACTAACTGATTTTTCTTCACAAATGCTGCCAGACCTGCTGAGCCTTTCCAGCAACTTCTGTTTTTTTTAACTCCACCACCACGCTGTCTCCTGCTGTTAAGCCAATTATGTATCCAATTGGCAAGCTCAGTCCGAATCCCACATGACCTAACTTTACTACTTAGTCTACCATGCGGAACCTTGTTGAAGGCTTTAGTAAAGTCCAAGTAAATGTCTACTGCTCTACCATCAATCTTTTTGGTAACTCCCTCTAAAACAAACTCAACCAAGTTTGTGAGACACGATCTTCCTGACACAACCATGCTGACTATTCCTAAATCATTTTTTGCCTCTCTAAATGCCCATAAATCTTATCTTTTATAATCCATACCAATAATTTACCCACAACCGATGTCAGATTCACAGGTCTATAGTTCCCCGGTTTCTCCTTACAACCTTTCTTAAACGTACAATGTTAGCTACCCTCCAGTCACCAGGCACCTCACCTGTAGTTATAGATGATGCAAATATTTCTGTAAGGGTTCTCACAATTTCCTCCCTTACTTCCCACAATGTTCTGGGATACGTTAGACCTGGTCCTGGAAATTTGTCCACCTTTACATTCTCCAAGAACCCTGAACTTGCTCTTCTGTAATGTCGACGGTTTCTAAAACATCAAAATTTATTCCTCTGCATTGTCCAAACTCCATTTCTTTCTCCACAGTAAAAACTGATGCAAAATAGTCATTTAGTATCTCTCCAGTCTCCTGGGGCTCAATTTAAAGATGACATTCTTGATTTTTA